AACATGCATGGTACATAGCAGAGGCTAATTGCTATCTATAGGGACAGCTTTCTGTCTTTCAGTCAATTAAATTTATGAACTATATACGTCAGATGCTGTTACTATTCATGGTTCTGATGAAGACCACAGGGCATTTTGGTGGGAAAATATTGTTATCACCTTTTAAGCTGACACAATTTAAATGTTCAATGATATATACATAAAATTACTACATGTAGTACACTTGCAAGCTTTTTTGCTTGCTGTAGACCCGTGGTTTAAGATCACTAACTGTAATAACCCCTCTATACTGTTGGTTTAAATTGTACCCAAGACTTTGAATTCTTCAACAAGAGATCCAACTATCCAGCTAGCTTATGAGAGATTTCTTAGTTACCTGCTAATGTCCCAAAAATAATGCACGAGGGTGCGTCTAGGGGCACCTGATGTCTTCCTCCAACAATTAACATGGTCTTTACATTAATTATCATTGGAATATTAACCCTTACCACAATAAATATCTTAAATGGACTTGTCTGCCTTTTAATCTGGGCAAAACCATTTTATCGTTTTAGGGTAACTTTCAAAACATGTAGTAACAGTGATGACTATGGTCAGATAGTACAGATGTCCCAGCTGATCTTAGTCTGCACTGGTCACATGGGTAGATTCAGCAAAAAATTTAAACAAGTGTCCTCATTCTCAACTGATATATGAGAAAGAACTACCTTGTGAAATCTGTATAATACACAAAGTTTTATCAGAGCAGCTGCAAATAGTTGCCAAACTGCTGATTAACTGCCAGAGCATTTCTATAATCAAGCTCAACATTTATGTCCTAAAATATCTACATTGCTCTCTATAAAAAAAATCTTCTCCTCACAGACTGTAGAAAAAAAGAGAGAAATATTTCTTCCTTTGATAAGAATTTTCTCTTGATGCTTAAAATATTTCAAAGTTTATAAACTAGATATGAAATCATGTAAACAGTATAGAAATTATACAGACGTTCTTATTTAACAGTGTATGTTCAAGCCAAAAAACAAATCAGATCTTGAGGTCATTTTAAAGTAATTATCTAGGCCTTTTCAGCTTCCAAAACATGTCAAAACTCTTTGAACACTTGAGGTAATTATCATCAAGCAGGCATATGCTTATAGAAACAGACATTCAGTCAGTCAGTCTGATCAGGCTTCACTGTTGGGCTACTTGATTTTAGGAGTTTATTCTTAGAAATACATGAATCTGAAATGATTTGAAAGCTCTAAATTTCCCATGAATGAAATCCTTACCAATCTAAATATCTTAACTGGACATGTCCAATTCTTTCAATCTGGACAAAATTTTAGGGAAAATTTCAGAACTTGTACTGACTACTGAAAAGCGAACAGGGCAGACTAAGATCTGATGGCAAGGATGTGGCAGCAGTTTTATGCCTGCACTTGTCCCATGGGTAAAGTCTGTTTCTGCCAGTGGACTTAGGGTTAACATTTGTTGCCCAGTTCAAATCTTAAAGTTACATTTTATTTACCTTTTATAGGCATAATAAAAATCATTGACCAACAGTATAGTCAGGCTAGTAAGTAGTTAGTATGTCTATAACCAGAATCTACAATGTACAATGTATACTGTTGGCTCATAACAACAGCACTTAAGTCTTAAATCCCTTCACTCACAATGAACTAATAGATCTATCTATTATATATTACTTGTTTGTAATAATAGGATACTTCCAAAATAAAACTCCTTTACTTATTTGATTTCCTTAACATTTCTTATAAATTCTCATTATTTTTCTGATTTCAATCACTATTATTATGTCTTTATATAGAATATTAAAGCATTTTAATAACAAAGTAACCTAAGAACATTTTCCAGGCATCAAAGAACCAATAATCACAAGCCAGTACCAATAAAAGCACAGTAAATCAAAGATTTATCCACTTAACAATGTAAATGCCCCAATAAAAGAATAAACATCTGCAAAAGGAATTAACTAACATGTTACCAGTTTATCAGTGTAAGACAAATAGAGAGTACCAAGAGCTCATTTTCTCCACAGGCACTTTTACACAAGTACAATACTACAATGTAAGTGGCTAATTATTAACAGCTTAATGCATATATTGTCACTTTGGACTGGCGCAGTAACCCGTTAACTCATGTATGATTTTATAGGAGTTAACCCATTACTGTATTAAGGTGAAGATAAAACATACTAAACTGGTAGTATATGTATAAATATGTAAAACATAGCAAAGACAATGCTTGAACAATATAGGGGAGGGGAAATGTTATTCCAGGGCTTTTTTTCACAGGTTGGGGAAGCAGCCCAGCCCTTAATTTTGGGGAAAAATTACACTGTATATTTGCAAAAGGGGAAGAAAAAACTTGATGTAAATTCAATTTTTGGGGAAAACTGCATGATTTTAAAGAAATTTTCTTTGGGGAAGCAGCCCTAAACCGGCCCCTGTTATAGAAGGTAAAAAGGCCCTGTATTCTGTTATAAAAGTAGGGGTATATAATTATAAGGTTGAAGTGGGAAGATTTTCAGGGTTGGAATGGGTAGAGAGAACTGTGGGGTTGGGGTTAGGAAAATTGTTTAATGGTAATGAAGTATGTTGGAGTCTACTTTTATTGAGTATTTATACAAATGTATGTTAAGGTTTTTGTTGTTTTTTTTTTACTGTCTTAGTTGTTTTTTTTTGTATCTTTAATAAGTATCATAGAAAAATAATAAACATAACCCGTATGATAAGGACAACAGAAGCTAAACTTTAATGATCAATAATATAAATCATAAAAGCTATTCAAGCACAAAGATTTTATTATAAATAATATCTACTGTACTCTTCAATCAAAAACAAAGTATAACCTATTTATAAGGTCTCCAAATTTGGAAAAATAATCTTGAATTAAAAATCCAGTTTAAATTAGAAAAAAAACAAAACAAAAAACAACAACAACAACATTACATTGATTGTACAATGTAAAATACACATTTGAAAAACAAAATTAATACACTTAAAAAAAACCTTTGAAAAAAAAAGTGACCACTGTCTCTATGTGACATACATGTATAGATGACATGGTGCTTTGTGGTCACAGAAAATCTGCATTAATTGCTTTGACTTTAATCACTGTCAAATTAGGATGAATAAGTGTAATGTCATTTTTACCACTTCAAATGATACACCACGTACACTTTGTAATGACTAAATAACTTCAAGTGGGAAGTACTGCAATATAAATTTTATTCACTGCACCCCCTCCCTTAACCTACAACCCCAACCCTTTCTTGTTATAACTTATAAAATTATTATTGTGTTGAAATGCACTTTGTACATCTGATGCAACCATTGTTATTTATCAAAAATAATGGGTTATTTCTAGGTCAAAACATTGCTTTAATTGTAAGTAAACAGCTGCAATGCCATGTCCTTATATTTTGTATTTCATTGATACAGAAATACAGTACTAGGGAAAAAAAACAACAATGTTATGTTATAAAAACACAATTATATTGAATGAAGTTACATATCTAGAAAAAAAAAACATAAAAAACTTTAACTGATGACACCAGAGAAAGTTTTATAAATCATTATGTTGTTGTTTTTCAAACATATAGAAATTTAAAAACCACATCAAAGCTTCAATATATATATCCTTGATGTTTAATGTCTTTTAAAATCACAATAAATTAATGAAAAACATTTCATTATAAATAGACACAAAGAGTGCCATATATGCCATATAATAAAGAACTTTTTTCACAGGTATGGAAAAGGGCCCTTAACTCAAAAATTGGAGTTTTTCAAAATTGATAATCAATAAACATTTTTGAATGTTACAGACATGGAAGAGATTAGCATCATAATGAACATGTATGTATATGTAAATACATATATCAATAACTGCTACAAGTTATTGTTAATATAAGTCATAAATTTTCTACTTCCTATTTATCAAAGAAATACAAACATTTATAGAAAAAACATACTCAACATTTTTAATTGTATTATATCGAAAAACATGTGCATCTGGTTTGGCTGTGAAGTGGCTTTATCTACTAGAATAACACATTACTGAAGTTTCATGAAAACAACACAAATTGCTTGAAGTACTTACAAGTTTATATATGGTAAGAGTACTTTGATATATAAGTATCATAGTATGTTGTTGTAAAATGGACAACTGTTTTTTAAAAGGATTTGAGAAAACACATGTGCATAATAATAAATTGAAATTGAATATAATTATGAGAAACTGAAACTAATAACACTAACTTATTTTATAATATCAGCTGATTAAATGTTCATTAAATCAATTTAAAATGATTTATGGACAATATATGTAGAACTGTACACTTAAATTAGTTATAAACTATTTGAAATGTTTAAAGAATAAAAGTTAAAATCACAATGATTCCCCAAAAAATAAAAAAAAAACAACTGACATTAATATTTGTGACTTTAAGTTTATGTCAATATTAAGGAATTAATTAAGGAATCTTATTCAAAAGAAACCTAGTCAACAATGTACAAAAATGTAATAATTGCATGAACACTACAAAAAGTAATCATTTATATACATTTATTAGCAACTTTAAACATGAACGTTAAAAACTACAAATAATTTTTCAAATTAAATAATATATAAAGAAAGATATATCAAATTACCGTGATTGAATTGCATCATTTTGTGTCAAAATTTGATGAGAAAACATACATGTAGGAAGAATTGAATAGTAAAATTGTCAATATTATTAACAAAATTAAAAAAAAATATGAATGTGGAAAATCTTTTGAGGTCTGACATTGCTGTTCTAAGTTATAAACATATATTGTACTGTTTTAGTTTTTGGAAGTACAGCAATCACTAAAACCAAAGGCAATCTCTTTTTCTTGTGTTGAAATTTCACATACTTGGATTGAAATTTCAAAAAGAAACAATTTTCTATTTTATTTTAATAAATTAGATTCAAAATATCAAATTCAAAAATTAATTTAAAATAAACTCACAACATTGTGTTGGTGGGAAATTATCTCTCCATCCCAAGATTTAGCTCCTTTGCCAGCCTCAATGCTTAATCTGTAAATCCACTGAAATTAAATATCTTATCTTCACAGCTCAGTACAACATGATAACATCACATTATCTGTACAATCTTTGAAGATTCAAACATTTGTGCCAAAATTATTCTTTGCAAAAATTCCGATTGTCAAATAATTGCAAATTAAAACAAAGTGTAGGAAATAAATAAGGTAAGCACTTAGGTACAGTAAAATTGATTTAATGAGTCAACTTAATTGGAACTGAGTCACTTTTTTCTAAAACATAATTATCATAATTCCATAACCAATTCCAGATGATATATTCAACCTAAAAAACCAAACGCTCCCAAACATAAATTGAGAGGTAGTGAACAACTTAAAAAACGTTGACGTATTTCCGATTCTTACATGAATAAAGTCACATAACAATTTGTATCAAGTAAATGTTTAACGAAACAAACTGTTTTGCAAAAAGATACCGTGGTTTAGATTATTTAGAACAGCTCATTATCAATGTCATCAACCAATGCACGAAATTATTCACTCTATCTATTCCATTCCAAGCGTCTGCCACACAAGCGAAACCGGACAACCGATATTCAAGAAAAAATCTTTGATACAAAGTCATAACTTTACTTAAGGAAATGGTAAACTGAACTTTATGTTTGAAAGAGTCATATAATTAATTAAACCTATTTGGAATTCATTGCATTCAATATACAACGCAGAAACATAAAAAATTGACCTTTTCGAAAACCTAGCTAAACACCGTTTTCCGGTACGTTACGGATTTAGCTCTGGGGAATTACACCAAATGAAGTACATAACACAGTTACATGATATTTCTATTTTTCTATCATTATTTTACCGTTTAAGGTGAAAAAAATTGATGTTTTTGAAAATTATCAATATTCCTTTAATATCTATTGCAAATTTTTCAAAAAATAAATTGTTTATAATGAAAATCAATAAAATTAAAACAGACGTAGTGGAATCTTCCATAATAAATAAGGTTATTTTCTGGGTAAACTTGCGTATTTACTTCATTTTTTGTATGGAATTATTCATACAATGATATTTATTTATTTTCTTATAAAGAAATAACTTTATTATTTTAATTTCATTTTAAAAAGGCCAAAAACATCGACTCCGCTATTACACTCCATCAGGTGAATTCCCCAGAGCTATGTACGGAAAGTACCGAAAAACGGCGTTTAGCTAGGTTTTCGAATTCGTGAATACTGTCATCATGGTTATATGGACGCTTTAATATAGACAGAAAAGGATAGTTCTTTACAAAATCATGAATTATTCTTTACTTGATCAGTTAATTAACCCATTACCAGATATATACGCCTTTCTACGCCTTTTTCACCCCCCCCCCTTTTTGCTTTCTCAAATGGTGAAAAAATGCCTTATTTAGGCCCCCAAACACTTTTTTTTGTTTGAGAATTGTTGTTTAAAAAAATGACCACTTTTTCGGCGCGGCCCCCCATCCAAAAGATACCTCAGGGGGTTGCCAGAAGGGGGATCTGCCCCCTTCTGTTTGGGGGGTTTGAAGGGGGGGCGGAGTCCCCCTCATCGCCAAGAAAATTTTGGATTTGTGGGAGGCTAAAAATGGCCCAGGTCGATCATAAGGTAAGATGTAACCAATGCTGAAAAGCCTTTGACTTAGTCCAATAGATTAGACGTTACAGGCTTGTTATAGTTTTATGTTGGTCAAGCCTGACGTCTAATAGTTATTGCTGATAAACGCGTAGCATTTTGAAAAATTAAAAAAATGTCTGTTGACTTGCCTTTCAAGCTTTATTCAAAAGCTTATATTCTGTTCTTTCAATTGCATGGTCTATCATTAACAAAAACTTTCAAACAATGTACTTATTAATTAAAAATAAAATATAAATATCAGTCTATTTTGCTCATCGGCCATACTGGTTAAGTAAGGCGTTTTACAGATTGATTCCAATTTTTTGAACGGAAAAATATATTCGAACACACTGACGGTGCATGGGAAATTATTTCGTTGAAAAAATATTCCGTTAGAAACTTCTGGACTCATTTAAACGCTTGCATTTGAATTAGCCAATCAGATTTCGCGCACTGTATGGCGGCCATTTGTATATCGGCTGTACAAGGAATTTAATTAAATGAGAGGATTTAATCATGACTTTTCGGATGTGACAGTTCAATAATTTTATTAAAAGGTATTCATTTTTTAGTTTTGTTCATAAATAGGTCAAAATTAATGTAAATACACGCTGTTTTAATTGTTTAAATTCATTAGATCTAAATCGATGTCTAATGTCAATTTTTTTGCTACACGATTTTGCAAAGATCTGTTAAGACCTAACGTAACATGGAAAATGAAAAATGTAAAATATCAGATTAATGAATGATAAATATGAAATAGGTTACGTATAGGTCTTATAATTAGGACTACCTTTGACTCTATCTCAATCCATTGAGAAGTGGCAGCACTTTGAAATCAATTTTGATGGAAAAAATCAACGCAAAATAGTGATTTTTGGCAATTTTGAGATGTCCCCTAGTTGCCATGGTAACAGAAAATTTCAGACTGAGCATGTTGTTACAAAGGCAATGGTCCAGTCAACATTTGTGCCAAGTTTGATTAGTATTTAAGCAGTTTTTATAGTTTTATAGCAAGTTGAACTAAATGTAACGGGAGACTTTTCAATGAAAACAGCCATTTTTCACAAAATGCTCATGGGGTAATGGGTTAAGAGTCATTTGAAAGACCCTGATTAGTTTGTACAACACAAAGCCTCAAAGTGAGCTCTTTGACAGGATTTTTTATAATTTGATTATTAAACATGTTAAATCAATATTTGTTGATATGACATAAGGCAAAGCCTATAGATGAATGGGGAAGTCATTTAAAATAATCATTCATTTTTAATTTACATTTTCCATTTTAAAAAGTGCCATTTGGTAATATATACACTGATTCCGATTATTCTGGTTCCCTGTCCTATTATAGTTCCTATAGAAATGAGCAGGGGACCAGTCTTCGCATCCGTTTTCAATCAGAATTACTGGACTTTTGTCGTAAACTTTTAATTTGAAAAGTTTTGATTGGTCTATTATCGGAATACCCCGCCTTTTAAATTATCATTGCGCCCAACAAGAAATGATAACGAAAATTTATTTGATAGGTATAGAATTCTATATATATATATATATATATATATATTTTTTTTTTTCCCTCCTGATAGGTATAGAATTCTATATATTTTTCTCTTTTTTCTTTTTGTTTCCTTTTCAAATATAAATGTGTTGTCTATAGCCGGGCAAGCCTTTGCGGCCCTAGGCTTTGACTTCCCCGTATAAACCAATTGGCAGGCACATTACTAGAGACTACAGTACAGTACAGTATACCCTTAGAACTGCACACTTTCATCCAAACAATCACAGACAAAGTCACCCAAATTCACTCAACACTACTACAGTAACTACACCCTAATTTTTACTTATGAAATAAGGCCATTTTATGTTTTAAATGATATCTAAATTGAATCTATCCGTCGTAGAACATAAATTTGCTTAAAATCACATTTTGGGAGTAATAATGTTATCATGAAACAGGAACCTACCAAAAGTTGATATTGACTATTGTCTTTTCCTATTTATTCAAGATTTTATATTTTATGAATAAGTTGAGTATATGTAATTATTTTGACTGCAATTTATCAAAAATAGTTGTATACAATACGTGAATCAGTCATAATTTTACATACTTTGCAATTTATTCATCAGACTATCATGAACGCTCTAAGATTCCCATTTCAGGAAAAGTACTTTCGTGAAATTTTGCATTTTGATTAATGGTAATCGATAATGGATTCTGTATGTACTTTTGAATGGGAACGGTAATGGGACATGCTTCAATAAATAAAATTTGTCCCGAAACTTAAATAGGATGGGTGGACTTAATACTCTGTCATTTTTTTTAAAGGGCTTTCAATGTTCGTTTAATTATTTTTGGATTATTCTGGCCACTTTGTAAAAAAAAAAGTGTTTTTCCCCGTAATATTTTGTGTCCCCTTTATACAGTAGCTGCAACATGCTACAAAGTTCCAAAGTTTTGGAAAACTGATTGATTTTAAAGGAAATTTTTATTGGGAAGAGACCTTTTATAAAAGGGGAAAATCACTGTGTCCAACAATCCTTAGATTACTTTTGTGACATGTTAACCACATGGCCATGCTGCCACTCTTTGTTATACATGTTTTACATTTCAGACATAGATCTTTAAGGTGTAGGAAGTAATGTAAGTCTTTTTTCTTGTGAAATATGTTTCTTTATATGTCAAATTGTATCAGTGTATGCTGCAGTTTCAAAATTACATGTTTATTTGAACTTTATAATTTCAGAGTAGCAAAGAGGTAATACTGTCATCTGCTAGGCAGTTCCTGAACTATGTGAATAAGTCACCCTCTCCTTATCATGGTAATTTTGATTTTCATACCTTGAGGATAGTTATACTGTAGAATGTTTTCTATGGAACATACACATTTAGTTGCCTTTTTGGTCCTTCCTTCTATCATACTTGCTATATCTCATAGCTGCTTCATTTATAGATTTATATATTTATATTATTTGATGTGTTGGTACTTTCAATGGACAATAAGGTCGATAAGGTCAAGGCAAAGGTCACTGAGGTTTAAAAGACTGTCCTACTTTTCCCCATCATAGTTAGGCCAGGTTTAAGATTTGTCAGTGTGATGCCAGGAATCATTTATCTGAGTTGGTTACTTATATTCTTTCTTCATGTAAAAAATGGAGGGTCCGATTTCTTTTGGTTTTAACATGAAATGGTTAAGTAAATTTGAAAGGGAAATTAATTACATGACTGCAATACAATGTACATGTATTAAATATGAAGATCAAAATGGAAGAATAAACATTGGGAAAGAGGCCTTTTTCAGGCTGCCATTATTGAAGGAATTTAAGTTCAGTGGTTACAGTTAATCAATGTGTTATAAGTTACTGTAATGGAACTATGGGATCCTAAAATATCAGCTATTTGTGTTATTTCCCATAAATAAATAATAATGGCTTTACTTTGTCATAAGAGTTACACTATAATACACATACACATAGTTAAAACATTATTTAAAAAAAATGCCAAACTAAATGTATTCTAATATGAACATTTTGAGAAAAATAATGCCTACTTAGCCTAAATTAGTTTATAATGAAGAATAAGAATTTATAATAATGCTATCCTTTCTATAACAAGTTTATAATGAAGAATTAGGATTTATAATAATGCTATTCTTCAATTACAGCTGTTGATGAAGTGAAGAAAAGACTTGTTGCTGCAGGATTCAATGAATTAAAAGAAGCTGACCACTGGCAAGTTCAACCAAAGCATAAGGTACCATATGGGGAAGATGATCAATTTTCCTTAGGAACACATTTGCGACTCTGTAAAACTGAATTGGGGGTGGGAAAAATTTTTTTTTGGGGAAAATTTTTTATTTCAAAAATAAGGGGAAAACTGCTTTTTTTTGGGGCCCCGTGTTTTTAAAACAAGAAAAAAGGGGAATTATTTTTACTGTGTTTTTTTTGTTGGTTTGTGATAAAAAGGTTTTATGTGATTAAAAAATTTTGTTTTTAAATTTCAATTTAAATTGAAAAATTTTTTGTAAGGCTCAGGTCCAGAATTTTTTAAGATTTTTCATTCAAAATTTTTTTAAAAATAAAAATAAAAATTTTTAGAAAAGGTTTTAATTTAAAAATTGCATAAACCCCAAAAACAAGGGGGGGGGGGGGGTCTGTTTTTTAGGGTTTAAATTTAAAATTTTTTTTCTTTTTTTTGTTTTTTTGTAAAAAAATCAGTCAACAATATTTTTTGCTTTTGGGGGTTTAAAAAAGGGTGGGTATTGTTTTTCCCTTTCGAGTAGTAAAAAAAAAATTTTTATTGACCCGTATTTTAAAATTTTTTTTAAGTTGGACCTTAATTATTTTTTGGGGGTTTTGCAATTTTGGTTTTTTCTTTTTTTTTTTTCCCCCAAAATTTTTTTTTTTTTTTTTTTTTTTTTTCAGATTTGGGATTTAGGGAAAAAACTTTTTAATTTTTTTGGAGGGAATTTCCAGTGAAAATAAAAATTTTTTTTGGGTTTCCCAAACCCTTAATTTAAAATTTTAAAATTTAACCCAAAAATTTAAAGGTTCTTCTTTTTTGTTGGGTTTTCCCCTTTTTACCACTTTGTTGTTAAATTAAACCCCAGAAAAAAGTCCCAAAAAATTTTAATTTTCTTTAAAAAAAAACCCTTTTAAAAATTATGGGGGGTTTTTAATTTAAAAAAGGGAAAAAACCTTTAAAGGTTTTTTTCCTTTTTAAAATTTTTTTGGGCATTACAAATTTTTGGAATTAACCCCCCCAAACAGTTTTATTAAAAAATAACCAAAATTTTCCCCAAAGTTTTAAAAAGGGGGGGGGGAGGTTTTATTGGAATGGCTCTTTTTTGATAAGACTTCCCCCTGGGCCCTTTTTTTTTAAAGGGAAAAGGGCCCATTTTTTTTAATTGGGTTTTTTTTTAAAATTTTTTCAGGTTTTTTTAAATCTATTTTAAAAAAACGGAATTTTTTGGCCCCAAATTTTTTTTTAAAAAGTAAAAAATATTTCCTTATCACTTTTAAATTTATAAATAAAAAATTAAAATAATTTTAAAAGTTTTTTAAAAAAAAAAAAAATTTTAAAAAAATATATATTTTTGTTGTGTAATCATTTTCTTTATCTTATTCCTAATGTCACTTGTTATTGAAGGAGTAAAAGAGAGTAGGCATGCTACTGTTTCAAATAATTCAGATAAATTTTCAAGTAATATATACATAGTTAATACACAATAATTGATCAATTTTATCCTGTTAACAAGATAAAAAAATAAACTATTTGTGGATAATTTTATCCTGTTCATTGGCAAATAACAGGATAGAACATAGGTAAGTTGTTTATAATTTTATCCTGTATTTTAAGCAGATAACAAGATAAAACAATGACTGGTTGTTGATAATTTTATCTTGCTTTTAGACAGATAACAAGATAAAACATAGACTTTTACAATTTTGATAATTTTATCCTGTGCATAAGACAATAAGAAAGAGCATAAATTTATACATGTTGATAATTTTAACCTGTATTTATGGCATATAACAAGAAAGAACATAGACTGGTTGTTGATAATTTTATCCTGTATTTTAGGTAGATAACAAGGTAGAACATAGATTGGTTGTTGATAATTTTATCCTGTATTTTAGGTAGATAACAAGAAAGAACATAGACTGGTTGTTGATAATTTTATCCTGTATTTTAGGTAGATAACAAGATAGAACATAGACTGGTTGTTGATAATTTTATCCTGTATTTTAGGTAGATAACAAGATAGAACATTGACTGGTTGTTGATAAAGACTGGTTGGTGATAATTTTATCCTGTATTTTAGGCTGACAACAAGAAAGAACATAGACTGGTTGTTGATAGTTTTATCCTGTATTTTAGGTAGATAACAAGATAGAACATTGACTGGTTATTGTTAATTTTATCCTGTATTTTAGGTAGATAACAAGATAAAACATAGACTGGCTGTTGATAATTTAATCCTGTATTTTAGGTAGATAACAAGATAAAACATTGACTGGTTGTTGTTAATTTTATCCTGTATTTTAGGTAGATAACAAGATAGAACATAGACTGGTTGTTGATAATTTTATCCTGTATTTTAGGTAGATAACAAGAAAGAACATAGACTGGTTGTTGATAATTTTATCCTGTATTTTAGGTAGATAACAAAATAGAACATTGACGGGTTATTGATGATTTTATTCTGTATTTTAGGTAGATAACAAGATAGAAAATAGACTGGTTGTTGATAATTTTATCCTGTATTTTAGGTAGATAACAAGATAGAACATAGACTGGTTCATGTGGAGAGACCAATCTTGAGAATTCCTCATATAGCCATACATCTACAGCGTGATCATAATGAGAAATTCTCACCTAACAAGGAAACAAATGTGTATGTTTATTTCATACATCATGTTTTGAAATGAATGCATGAAACATTTATGTTGATGTTACTTTTATAGAAATGCTTTTTAGTCGTCACAACTTTGTACAGCTGTCTCAATCCATGGCAAGGTGTCATAGAAAACTTGGGCACTTTTTATTTTATCAGGCAAAAACTTATGAAAGAAATATTAACAGTCTTTTACAAATATTTCACGCCTCTTTTCACATAGTTACTGTATATATAAGCTCCAACATAATAATGTCCTTAACTTTGCCAACATATAGTGACAATTGATATACATGTATAATGAATTAGGCAGGAAGCTCATTAGTATTCATAATTTTATAACATTTATATATAAGCTAAATGCTGATTGGTCAATGTTTGCATGAGCAAAGAGAAGTGGTTGTAAACATTGGAGCAGTTGTCTCACGACTATGGTTTTGATTTGAAAAAATAAATACATTGGACTGTTCACCCTTGTTTACAACAGAAATCTTGATGGAGTCAGATTCTTTCATTCAAGTCCAACAAATGACATATATGTTTTGAAGGATTCAGATACTCCTTTCTAATTATGATATGTACCACACACTCTTTTCTATTCTGTATTGCTGTGAACAGTAAAAAATTACAACTATAAAATAAAAAGTTCCTGGCCAGATATTAAGATAAATGATTTTTACACTTTTCTTTTGAAACAATATTTCATTTCTGATTGTCTGAAGTACTGGAGTATATATTTACTTTAATAAACAACATTGATGTTTAGGTGTCCTGTGTTGGCAACAGAAGTACAATCAAAGTTATGCAACAATGGTCCAAATTCCCCAGACAGTGAAGGTACAGAGAATGCTCAACAATCACAGGTTAATCATTGTTCAGATGTACATATAGTTTAGTTTATACAGAATATAACTTAGTATGATTTGTGAAAGAAGTTATAAGCTTATAGGCGCACTTTTGAATCTGTTCCTGGATTCAACCAGTACTGAGAAAGAAGTGTATTGTTTCTTGCTCAAGCAAACAACAGCTGTAGTTTAGCTCTGGAGTTGGTTTATACAGAATTTATTTTAGTTCGATTGTGTAGGAAGCTATAAGCTTATAGACACACTTTCGAATCCGTTCCTGGAACCAACCGGTACTGAGCAATGAGTGTAAAGTTTCTTGCTCAAGGAAACAACAACTTGCCCCTGACGGGGTTTGAACACATGCGGCTAGCGATCAATAGATTACTAGTCCGTAGCGTTAACCACTCGGCCATGCCGCCACTAACTAGCTCTGGAGTTCTAGCAGCAACTGATTTTACCTCTGCAATCAGTGCACATTCATGGTGTCTGATCACAGTCTGTACTGTTCACTATTCTGTCAGTACTTATTTAAAAATAATTCCGAGAAATGATGAATGGTTTTGTTCAGATTGAAACATGGACAAGTTCATTTAAAACATTAAGCGTGGTAAGAGATAAACAGTTAAAGTAATAATGGTAGTGGAATAATGTTGTATAAATTTGAGAATATTTCATGCTCTCTGGAAATAACTATTTTTAGAATGTGGTATGATATCATCAGTATAGAGTTGTTGTATAACATCATTTTTATACGCCCGTTTGAAAAACAGGTCGTATTATAGTTTCTCCCCTGGAGGGCAGCTGGGCGAGCAGCTTTTGTCAGGAGCATATCTCCTACACCCATGGAGGAATTTTAATGAAACTTCATAAAAATGTTCACCACTATGAGAAGCTGTGTCACTTTCAATATAACTTGGCATAAATGTTCACTTTTGGGAGGTGGAGTGTCGCGTGCAAAATTTAGGTCCCTGCGGTCAAGGTCACACATAGGGGTCAAAATTCAGAGGAGCTAAAGTTCACATGAGCTAAAAATAGAAAAACCTTGTTAACACTCTAGTGGTCACATTTTTGACTCAATTGTCATCAAAATTGGTCAGGATGCTTGTCAAGGTAATTGCTCGATGAGTTCGAACATGGGTCATCTGGAATGAAAAACTAGGTCACAGGAGCTAAAAATAGAAAAATCTTCTTAACACTAGTGGCTTCTGTTTTGATCCAAATATCCTGGAAAAATTGGTTTGAAAGTTTCTTTTAATGATTTCTAGGTCAATTTCAAATATGGGCACCTGTGGTCAAAAACTAGGTCACACCGCCCAAATATGGAAAATCCTTGTTAACACTCTACTGGTTACATTTTTTACTCACCTGTCATGAAACTTGGTCAGAATGCTTGTCTAGGTAATTGCTCGGATGAGTTTGATGGCTCAGGTGAGTGATCTAGGGCCATCTTGGCCCTCTTGTTATAATTAAACATTTTTTTCATCTATTTCTAAGCATGTGAAACAATTCAGTATTTTTAAGTGCTAACGTATCTACATATGTGTACTATATTTGCAGAAAGACAAGCACCATTCCCTGCTGGTACAGTTGTTATGTGAGGAACTGAAGGTAGAAGCTGATCAGCTGATGGACTTTGACCTTCACCTTGCTGATACCCAACCAGCTGTCAGTATACAATTTTGTTTTATTTGTTTTCATTTTTGTTAGCTCCACTATTTAAAGAAGAGGGAGATCTATTTCACTCATATCACCCAGGCATTGGTGTCATTGAAGTTTTTGCTGGCAATTTGTATCTCAGAAACTACTGACAGAATTAGACTGAAACTTCACACACATATTTGAGAGCATAGAAGGCGGTCCTTGTCCAAAACCCTTAATTGTAATGTGGTTTATGACAAATTTATGACCCTTGTGACAAAATTATGGCCCTTTTACAATATCAAAGCTCTTGTTTTATTGTCAAGCTCTCAGAAAAGTTGAGCACGGTGACCTACCAACAGCTACTAGTTATGTTTAGCAGAATAAGAAGTTACTTTAACTTCTAATATACCTGCCTCACTGTAAATATATACTATGGTAGGACTGTCATGATGTAATTGGATAGAATTTTAAGGACACACTTATATACTTGCAACATATAGTGACCTCTTATGTATAATTATTAGGTCCTGTCTGAGTCTTAATACTAGTGTCATATCATCCTGAATGAAGCAGACAAAATGTGATTCAGGCTCTTTTTATGAGAAAACACTGATTTCATGAATGAAGCACGAAGGTTACCTCTTTAGAAAGTTTCTAAACCACAATTTATCTGCTCTCTTTCAGAATTATATGACACTAGTAGTTTGGCAAATGTCTCTGGTATACATGAAATTGGAAATGAAGTGAAGTTTTATATGCATTATTGTATTAACATATATCAGAAGCACAAAAGTCTTCTTCTATATGGAAGCTTTGTCATCATTTTCATAAATAATCTTGAAAATTATATGTTTTTTGGGAAAATTTATAATTCTGGTTACAATATAATGTAATTTCACCTGAATTGGCTAATTCATCTCTTAAAGTTTGATTAAATATAACTATAAAACTAAATTGATCTGTTAACTTATGATGTTGCTCATTTCAGCCATAGATGTGTACAATGGTTTGTACCTTTCACAAAATGTTGATTGTTTACTCATGTACATTATTTGGATCTAATTTTCAATTTTCTAGAGAATTGTCATAAGTCTGGAAGCATGCTGTGTTAAGCTACATTTGGTGATAGGTTAACTTACATTATTAATATTATTATTGTGATGAACATTCAGAGAGGGAATGCTAGAAGTTAAATGAGTGATATGATATATTTTTCAGGTTATTGGAGGTGTACTAGAAGAATTTATCTTCTCACCAAGATTGGACAATCTGCTAAATGCCTATACTGCTATGGTGGTAAGATTTTTTAGTCAATCTTCAGCAATGTAAGGATTCTTTGGATAACTACCACTCTATTGTCTAATAATAGGCCAGAGCTGGTAAAAACATCCATCTTCACCCCCCCCCCTCCCCATGGAGTTGTTGGAGATAGCATGAGCAAGAGAGAAAGAGCTAAGTTCTAACTTTCTATCTTTCCCATCTCTGCACTGGCTTTTTGATGGTTTTGTTTTGATGTTAAAGTAGCCAGGGATATGTCCTGCTGACAGTGTTCCGGCATTTATTGTAACTTGGGATTTCACTATCTGACTTTCCCTTCAGGTTTGAAAATCCAAAAGTCAGAAATAATCTATAATGCAAGGTATTGCCTCGTAGTTTTAGGGTCATTGGTAACAATTGACTGGTGCATGATGGAGTGGTCTTACTTTAAATTTCAGGCTTTTTATTGTTGGCAGACTTTTAATAGTCATCTTATCCCCAGAATTGATTATAGACAGTTATAATTATGATAATATCATCGAAAGTTAAATTTGATGATGTTTAATTTCTAATTTCAGGGTCTAATATCATCGTGTTCTACCTCGTCACTAGATAATGACACCAATATTAGAATGATCAGTCTCTTTGATAATGAGGAGGTACAGTATACATATATATATTGCTTTTATTATAATTTATATTGCAAAACTATAACATAGTCATGATAGATATTCATCTTGCATGGGTTATCTTCATTGTGCTTTTTCCTGTATAGATTGAGATTTGCTTGCCCTTTTTTTTGTACATAGCACACCCAGGTTTTTACTCACTACTTAACTTAAATTTTACTAAGTAACTGCATTAAAAAGTTATTTGTACAATGATTAATATGTCATCAAAAACATGAAGTCAGGATGGATAATTTGCATCACAAAATGTTGGTTTCGTAACATTAATAAGTGTATGATATAGTAATTTTGAAGAAAGAAAGAAAGAAAGAAAAACAAGTGAGATTTCAATATTGTAGGTAGGATCAAGTAGTGCTCAGGGTGCTGGTTCCAGTTTCCAGGAATATGTTCTTCGTAGACTAAGCAGTGGTGGGAACCAGACAGCATTTGAGGAAGCCATTCCAAAATCTTACATGATAAGTGCTGACCAGGCTCATGCCATACATCCGAACTACAGGTAGAATTATAATTTATAATAGGATAATAATTGGTTCATTAATTGAGTGGTGATAGATGTTGTTGGGTTTGTTTTGTCACAATAAGATATAACTCTGCTACATAATAAATGTTAAACATACCAGCATTTAGATCATTATATCCAAAAGTCATGTATTCAAGTAACATTGTATTGGGTCCTATTAAGCATGTTAAATTTTGTTTTATTTTGACAGTGATAAACATGAGAGCAACCATCAACCAGGGTTTCACAAGGGTATAGTTGTCAAGATAAACGGTAACCAACGTTACGCCTCCACAGGTATCACTAATACTATACTGCGAGAAGTAGGAAGAATGGCTGATATACCTCTACAAGTAAATCATTTCTAAATGCATCTAGGTTGAAGAAAAAATAATTTTTGATTGTGTAGAAAGCTATAGCTTAAAGACACACTTTTGGATCACTAACAACGAGTTTAAACAAAGTCTTGCTCATTATAAAGTTTCGACACATGTGACTAGTGTATCTTAGATTTCAAGTCCAAAGCATTAAACATTTGGCAGTGCTGCCCCTCTGGGAGTTTGAACACACATGACTAGCTAATCTTACATTACTAGTCTAAAGTGTTAACTTGACCATGCTGCCACTTATTATTGATTATACAATGAATTTCAATTAAGTGTTAATAATGAATTTATGAAACCCATTGACTTTACTTTGAATTACAAGAATTTTATTTTGCAAACTTAGCATTGTAAAGGTTTAATGAAAAAAATGTATTGCTATTGTTTTGATTTTGATTGATGAATACAATTGAATATTTCAGGATTTTGTTGTAAGGAATGATTCTCCATGTGGCTCAACCATTGGTCCAATAATGTCAGCAAAACTTGGTATGGCTACAGTGGATATCGGAGCCCCACAGCTCAGTATGCACTCTATAAGAGAGATGTGCTGCACCTCTAGTGTATGGCAGGCTCAAACTCTGTACCAGGTAGGGATATTATGACACTAAATGTTTGGTATTACATGTAGTTACTCAATTTAGGATTGTAATGTTTCTCATAAAGCTATAATTAGTCCCCTACCGGTTTAACCGGAGGGGACTTTAGGTTTACCCTCCGTCCGTCTGTCTGTCAGTCCGTCAGTCCGTCCGTCCACAAAACTGGATCCCGCGATAACGCAAAAAGTACTGAAAATATTTTTATGAAACTTGATATATGGATAGATGGCAGTATGGAGATTATGCACGTCTTTTTCTTTTCTTCCTATGTTGAAAATTCTGGTTGCTATGGCAACAAATAGTCTGAAAATATGGCAAATTTAACACATAAACTGGATCCAGTGATAACTCAAAAAGTACTAAAAATATTTTTATGAAACTTGAAATATGGGTAGATGGCAGTCTGGAGATTATGCACAGCTTTTTCTTTTCTTCCTATGTTAAAAATTCTGGTTGCTATGGCAACAAATAGCCTGAATTTCAAGATTTCTGATTTAAATTTTTCAGCTTTTTCACTATAAGTTCTTTATTTCTTAAGGTATTTACTTCAAACTTTAAATATAAGTTTCTGGTCATCAACCACATCATATGTGACAAGGTGTACAACTCTAGCACAAAAATTATCAGTATTACCTCCCTTGAACTTAGAATTTTTATGAAAAAAAATGTTGTCTTTTTTAAATAACTTCTTTATTTCCTAATGTATCTACTTCAAACTTCATATATATGTTTCTTATTATCACTCAACATTTTTGAGGAGATTAAATACTCTAGCAAGACTATTTCCAGGATTATGTCCCCCTTGAACTTAGATTTTTTTCGAGAAATTGGTATTTTTCACTCCAACTTCTTTATTCCTTATAGGATTTACTTTAAAATCCCACATTGTAATAATATGACAAGGTTGTATAAACATTATTTCCTTACTAGGCAGGGAAACTTAACACATTACTGTGATATAGACAAACTTAGAACTCAAAAGATTTATGTTCATTCATGTCATTCATTCACTGGTAAAATTGAATGGCCAATGGCCCATCAGAATGTTGCTTGGGTTCTAACCGGTAGGGGACTTATGGATTGCTTGCAATACTATGATAATTGCTTGTTATTGATGGTCTTGATGTGTATAGACAATATTCACTTGTCTGTACAGGCTGTAGGACAACCTTGGCAATATGGACAATTGATTTATATGGACAACTAATTTGTAATGAGAAAAAGGTTCCTTACAGAAGGTCTATGGCTCTACCTAAGTGCCTGCTTGTCCAGAAATAATGCACAAAGGGACACCAGAGTTCCTCCTCCACCAGTAAAGTTGGAAAGTTGCCAAACTGCAGTGTGAGAGCCATGGTATGATCTTTTTAGAAAGGTGGTCTCTTAAGACATGATCTTATGGTTAAGTTGATTTTGTATATATATGGTTAATAGCAATTTATAAGTATCTGTTTCCTTTTCAGACTTTCTTTGAGCGTTATCCTGAAGTTTACAACTCCCTAAACTTCTAATCAACATTGAGATGTCAGACAGACTTTGAGATGTCTAGGTGACCTCTAGACATGTATACAAATGCAAGACGTCTCACACTGCTGTGATTACAGTCATATTTATTAACATCAATTAAGATACATTCAGTTTTGTTCAGCTTTTGAAATTCACCTGGACATTGTTGTAAAAGAACTTGTTGTCAATATATAATGTTTTTTGGGTTGTATTTCTACTTCTTCTTCAGTTTTTGCAATCATTTGGATAGTATTAACTTTAAATTTTACCTCAGACTTTATTATTATCTGATCAAAGGGTTCAAGTCAATTGTTAAGTAATTTGGATTGGGTTTTTTTGGGTTTTTTTTTTTTTTTTTTTGTTTTGTTGTTGTTTTTTTTTTCTTACTTGGATATGTTAGCTCAAAATAGTTAATATTTCAGCTTTTGTGATAATTTGTCATTAAAATTTTACTAATATGGAGGGCTCTTGATGTGATTGGGATGAACTGCACTGTGGAGATTATATTACAATGAACTTCTTTAATATTATAGTCAGAGTTTTACTATCAATTTCTGATAATTCTTGATTTAAATTTCAATTTATTATATAATTTGAAGATGATTTTTGTGACTTATCATTATTCAGAGCTGTCATTGACTACGTCGAAGGCATAATAATAATATGAAAATACACAGAGGCATAGATTGGTTGAAATTTATGTGTCTGCTAAATTCTGATAGCATTTCTTTCTTTGTTATTTACTTAATCAGTCCATTAATGTGGAAATCATGTGACATTCAACAATTAGCTATTTTTTAAGCATCTGTGATCATCTGTGAATTAGTTTTGCGACCAGTTTTAAATGATTATTATATTTTGTGTTCTAAGAACAATTTGAGCTAGAACATATATTTTCTTTACTGGTTTCAGTTTTTGTTTTGTTTCAATTGAAGACTTTTACCATTAAAAAAATGATTATTGATTAAAGTATTGTTCTATTATGTCATTGGTAATTATTAAGAATATTATTGATGGCTATATAACAAGTAATGGTTAAAGATTTTTTCTGATGTGTATTTATTTTAATTGTTAAAAGAATGCTTAATGGGTTAAATAATTCTTCCTTTTCATTTTTTTAATCCATACAGAATATTGATCATTTATAAAATGATTAAGGGTTAAAATTTTGATCTCTATTTTCTCTTTATAAATCATTAACATAATTTCTTATCATTAAACTATTGATATAATTTGTCTGGATCATTATTGAGCATTTTAATCTTTAAGTGTACATTTGTAACCAGGTTTTTCTAATTTGTGTTTCAAAATTCAGGGACCTTTTTATACAATTTTGATAATTTTTTGCTTATAAATGATGCAACATTTTTATCTATTTGGGACCCATTTATTTCAATTAATTACAGACATTGATTTGGATAATATATAAATGTATTTGTGCATAATTTATATTTGATTAATTTCAATAGGTGTAATGTTTTTCTTGGATTTATTATGTGTCCTGTCTTTGATAAGTAATTAAAAATGAGAATGTACATTTTCAAAATGTAACTTAAAACCTTTAATTGACATTATGATCATTTTTTTTTCACTGTCAAGCTGAGATTAATTAGTTGTATATATGTCAAAAGATTGACTACATAAATGGCAATTGAGCAATAACTGATAATTACAAATGAGCCCCGTCATGACAAAACCAACATAGTGCGTTTGCAACCGGCATGGATCCAGACCAGCCTGCGCATCCGCGCAGTCTGATCAGGATCCATGCTGTTCGCTAACAAACCCTATTACAAGTAGAGAAACTGATAGCGAACAGCATGGATCCTGATCAGACTGCGCTGATGCGCAGGCTGGTCTGGATCCATGCTGGTCGCAAACCCATTATGTTGGTTTTGTCATGACGGGGCTCAAATGTTTAGGATAAAATGTAGAAACTGCCTTAAATATAAAAAGACTACCCCACTCTTTTTTATAAATTGAACATTACCTAATAATTTCTGAAGGATTTTTATCGATATTTGTGTGGGTCACAGGGTTTACTGATTACTCAAATAACGTTTTTTTGTTGTATAAAATTGAAAACAAATATGACAGAATGTAAAGTTATTTTAATTTTACCTGAACATTCACCATTTACTCTAGGATAGGCTTAATTTCATTAAGTGTCAATGTAAATTAATTTCAGCCAATTTAAAATTATTATTTCAAAGCTAAAGTCATTATTTTTTCAGCTTTTGGCAGAACTTCAAAAAGAAATTATAAAACTTGACTCACAGCTTTTTATGATTGACAGCTTAAATGGTTTAACAGGCTTTACAAAAATTGACTCGTAAATCTATATAAACACAGATTTTGTGGTCGGGTCATTTATAACCTGTCATAATTTATTTGCTAATATGCTTTAATTATTACAAATACAATTCTATGTTGTCTAGGCCACTATGTCAATATTGATATTTGAACGGGTGTCCATGTACTTTCATATCAACTATGGGTGCATTACTCTGTTAACTATGTATGTTATTTTGAATAGCATTTCTAAATGCTTGGTCAATTAGAATATCAATAACAAGTTCATTTAAAGATTATTATATATTAATACAATTGCATGTAATTAAGTTCCTTTTTTTTTTTTGATAAATTATGACTGATAAATTTTTATTTTTGAATATTTAATTACAGAGCATATAACAAACCTGTTATTATAAGTTTCTGGTTTAATATATAAGCACAAAATGTAGAGAAAAATGAAATATGCAATGTACATGTATATGCATTTTGATCATGGTGAAATCATGACCACGTTTAAAGGTGGCCAAGTGAGACATTAGATCCTTCGAATTCATATTGCTTAGATAAATTAAAGGTCAAGGACATATATTCTGAAAGTTATGGCAGGATATTTAGTTAATAAAAAATGTATTTTTCTGTTCATTTTGATGTCAAGATCCAAAAATAACAAATTTTAGTACAAACAGATTTTCATTAATTCATTGAGTTGACTTTAAAATTAAAATTAAAAAAAAAAATTGCCAAATTAATTTTATATATCTTAATCTATTTCAGTATATGTTCTGCAGAGTTAGAGTTACATATGTACACTGTTAGATATGTACACTGTTAGATATGTACACTGTTAGATATGTACACTGTTAGATATGTACACTGTTGGTTCTGAGGATAATTAGGATAAAAAAGTTCAAAGACCTGTGAATTTTATAGTTTATTTATTTATAAATTAATACAGGTACAAGTAAATACACAATAAAGTATAAGGCTTCACTAAAATAAATATGCAATTTTTAAATGTAAAACTTATAAAATGAGTAGTAAAAACATTAGATAAAGAAAATAAACATTTATCACATTAGTATGAAAATATCAATCTCATTGTAGTATATTATGAAGGCACTCCGCTCTAGGCTTAAATATTTATGTATAAATAATCTAACATCCAGGCTGGTGTAAAAACATAGAAGTTTAGATACATGCACCATTAAATAGAATTACTGCACAATTGTTAGATATATATAATACTTTTAGGCAGGACTTTGTCATTGTTTGTGGCCAGATAGCTGAAAATTTTGGTAAAAATATTTTCTAGTAAGTGGTACAGTATTTTTTTACATGTATATACATGTATGTTGACTGCATGATATAAAGTTATAATTTGGTAACTGATTTATGCTTAACACATTGAATACTAAAAAAAAAATTTTTCATTTTTAAGTTCACAGGTGAAAAACAAAATCTTTCTACTGATATACAGTGAGTGATATAAGTTATATTTCAGTGATGTCAGTTTTTTCAATAGTGTAAAATATGCTTTATTGTAAATGTAAAAGTGCTACACAAATATTGTTATTATTTCTTTTTTCTTTCTTTCAATTAGGATAGTGTGTATATTTTAATATGCAACTTTATATTGTATAGAACAGAATAGAACAAAATATTTATTTTTAGTCTTGAGCTCTTCCCAACCCTTTATAAATATAAATCATGTAAATTCAAGTCAGATTATTTACAAAATCTACAGCAAAAATTAATGACAGACAACCTTATATGACCTTTGACCATTCATAAAATATATATCTTGTTTCCAATACATTACAAAAATGTAGGTACTTTTGATTGTTGATACAATAACATATGTTTAACAGATATGAATTTAATTATTGAGCATATAGACTATTTTGTTGAGATTACATAACCCACTAGATAAAACCATTAAAATACATAGCTTTACATGTATATCTAAGCAGTAAAAACAAGTGAAATTTTGAACAAAATGCAATGTATATATTTTTTTTATACAGAGTGCAATATATAAATTTATTTATACTTCTGGCTACTTGGTTGATTAACAAGGGTAAAGGGAAAAAAGTAGCATATGTATTGTACATTGTAATTCTGAACTTAAATCATTTTTGAAGTAAAATTGATTATCCACCAAAAAAAGAAGATAAAACCATATTCAAATTATACTGTAATTATGCAACTATGATTATTTTTTGTCAGTAGAGATATTTGTAATTTGAAATCAGAAAATAAAAATATAATGCTTACAGCCCATTTTGTTATTCTTCATAACCTTATTTGTTTAAAGTTAGAAACATTGCACATGCTTTACTAAAAACTTTCTACCTATTCATTTTGTTATGGCTCAGAAAATATGGGTATAAATTCTATGATTGGATCAAAATGCCAGTTATAATGTGAATGGTGGGTAAGATGTTCAGCATGGGTTGAAATGATTTTTGATGTAAGAGCTTCTGTTTTAAATCCATTTTAGCTTATACCTAAGGAATAAGTATGTCCTTAATTTAGTCAAATAGTATCTTGTCATTACGTTAAAGCACTTCTTACTCAATTTTACTGTTTCTTTACTCCCATTTTTTCGCTTTTCATGCATTTTCTTCTGCTACTATTTTCTTCCTTTTGAGACGTAGCTTTTCCGTCTGGTTTCCTTCTAGAACCTTTGTCTGCTTCGATTATGCTTGAAAATGTTGAAATTTGTCTGTCGTCTGCTTCATAGAAGATTGAACCTTTGAGTCAAATGTCGTCCAGGCGTTTGGAAAACTGCGTCAGTTGATGACAAACTTTCCCGCTGAAGTTCCTGGGAGCAGTTTAAGTATCTGTTTCCCCCATCCTTA